TATTTTGCCACTGGTAAAGGAGGTCTCATAGTGTAAATGCTTACCCCGAGCTCTCAATACTCTGTCTTTGAGTTGTACGCCTTTTGGCGTCATCTGGTCCAACACCATGTGAGACTAGGCTCTAAGGAAAGCTGTCTCGGGTGTGCACCAATCAACTTCAAGGACAGTGCATATCATTACCATTATCAGAGTTGTTTCTTTTTGTTTGCATTTTGACTGCTTGTGTTGCGGTTATTGCAAACATGATGCCTAGTATAAAGGTCGATTTAAAGCTTTCGTGACTGCAGGGATTCATCTTCTTGTTTCTTTCGGTAAAGTCACGTAGAAGGGAAGTAATAAAATAATAAAAATAAAACATAATAAAACAATTCTCACGACGTTTCGGCTACAACGCAAGCAGCCGTCTTCAGGTGAAGAATGAGACACTACCAAACTAGGAGCTTATATATAAGCTGCATTGGGGGTTGAAGAGCGCCTTAACAAAAAGAATGTGCATGTGAAGAGGGATTTAGCATATTCATGGAAAATGCGTAGGCGTTGGGCGGGGGGGTGTCAAAGTCATATTATGCCCATGCATTATGCAGGATCAGCAGCAACCAAGGGGGGTGCAGGGATTAGCAGTAACAAAGGAAAGGAATGTTAATGATATGATATGTAGCTGCAGTTACTCAACAACCACGTAGAAAACTAAAGTATAAACTACATGTAGTTTATACTTTAGTTTTCTACGTGGTTGTTGAGTAACTGCAGCTACATATCATTAACATTCCTTTCCTTTGTTACTGCTAATCCCTGCACCCCCCTTGGTTGCTGCTGATCCTGCATAATGCATGGGCATAATATGACTTTGACACCCCCCCGCCCAACGCCTACGCATTTTCCATGAATATGCTAAATCCCTCTTCACATGCACATTCTTTTTGTTAAGGCGCTCTTCAACCCCCAATGCAGCTTATATATAAGCTCCTAGTTTGGTAGTGTCTCATTCTTCACCTGAAGACGGCTGCTTGCGTTGTAGCCGAAACGTCGTGAGAATTGTTTTATTATGTTTTATTTTTATTATTTTATTACTTCCCTTCTACGTGACTTTACCGAAAGAAACAAGAAGATAGTATAAAGGTGTCAGTTTTGTACCAGTTTAAAGGGTAAAAACCTACTACTATATTTTTGCCACTGGTAAAGGAGATGTCTCATAGTGTAAATTTTTACCAGTTTGTCATAAGGCAAAGGGACATCATAAAGAAAAAGTATACATTTATCTGTAAAGTAATGTATATACATATAGGTTATTATTTTCCCTCTAAATTATTCTTCTGCAGATATTCCTTTCAACACATTTCATCGCTGTAATTCCATGTACACACGTAATATCGTGCATATTACATTCATGCATTTACGTGACAATTACCCGTTAATATTTATTGCCAATCTCAAAATACATGTATCGAATGGCATGTGTGAGAATCCATGCTTTTGATTCACATGTTGCATGTAATGGGTTTAAGTGACCCTGTCAGCTCCGAGATGCAGCAATACTCACTATAATTAAATATATATTGGATTCTTGAATTTGAATTGTGACCCTGAAAATTAATTTAATCAATGAGGCATGCAAATCATTAACCTCCTCTATATAGTAGGTATATATATTTAAACATCTTAGGTATTTGTTTCATTGCCGAGATGCAGTGACGTATAATCCATCAGCAAATCGCTCTTTGTGATCAATGTATCCCAGTAGAATTTGTGTTAACAAGGTAAGCCTTGGAAGACCTGGCAGACCAATACAAGGCCAATTGATTGATCTAAGTATTATTTCTTTAGGTACTGAAATAAAAAACGCTTCACCTATTTTTAGATGATTTTTACAAGCATTATTATTATTATTTTTATTTCGTATGTAATTACAGTAAATACAATATGTGTGCATATGTCGTCATTATAAGGGCCTGTGCAATAGTATTACATTCTTTTTGATTTAAAGCATTCGTGACTGCAGGGATTCATATTCTTGGTTCTTTCGGTAAAGTCACGTAGAAGGGAAATAATAAAATAATAAAACTTAAACAATACGATTCCCACGACGTTTTGACTGCAACACAAGCAATCATCATCAGGTGTGAATTCCATAGCAAGAAAATATTTTTTCAAATTTTCTTCAAATTTTCTTTCTGATGGATTTCACACCTGATGACAATTGCTTCTGTTGCAGTCGAAACGTCGTGAGAATTTTTATTGTTTTATATTTATTATTATTTCCCTTCTACGTGACTTTACCGAAAGAACCAAGCATATAAGTATTACATTCATTGTCCAAAAAGCAACGGCATGGCTTTGTTATGTGGATAAAAGGGGAAAAAAAGCCACGGGAGTTGCCGACAATGTGTGCGGCTTAAATCAGACCGGTTTAAAAGTTGCTCGGGGAATTATGTCACGGTGACAAACGTTTGGCTGCCATCGGCCAAGCCCGTGACTCATCATCATAGACGCACAGCCGCGGAGTTGCAAGGTGCATTCACGGACGCTCGCTAAAATATACCACCTACGCCAGACCTCTTATGGTCCTCGGAGAAAGCACGGCGAGCGATCACAAAAGAGGGCGCCGATATCCGTGCCGTGCATCTGCCGGTTTCTTTGTATCGCTGCGTCGCCGCCAGAAGAGCTCGTAAAAGAGTCGTCGCATCCGTCCCCAGCAATCGCTGCACCGTTCCCGTGGCGCAGTCGCAACAATCGACACGCAATGACGATATTGGCATTGCACCGTGCGTGAACTCCAACTTCAGGGTCTGTTCTCTCCGTTTGACGCGTCATTGACGCACGTAAGGTTCCTGCCAATTCGTGACCGCGCAAAGGGCCCTGCCGTTGTTCTCGTGCACACACGCACGCACACACACGCACGCACACAAATAACAATGACTCGCTCTGTGTAGACCTACCAGGCTGTTGGGGCAAGTGCCATGAACAATCACATTCTGAGGCCGGCATAGCACGCGATGGGGCTTGTGTGGCCAGCGTTCCAACTCCGCAGTGCTGATGTTTACACACCTAAAGGAAGCCCAGGGCCGATTCAGATATTCGCCACTGATGTTGACCGTAAGCGGGAATCGAACTCGGGTCGCCGGGTTTGTACCTAACCGCTGCACTACCGCGCGCGCGCACACACACACGGTAAATGTGCTAAAGCACACTCACACAACTCAATGTCTACTATGGCATGGTGGGAATTTCCGCGTGGAATCGCACGCACATTTGACAGGTTTTTACGCCGCTTAGTATTTATATAAGAAATGGCAATTTAGCCTGAGCACATGTATGGGACCCATTATGTACGTAAGTCATGTTTAAAGATCAAGAGAACCGTCCATTTAGTTGATGCTAATGCATTCGCGGTATATATATATAATACATACACACGCACACACATCTTTCTGCTGTAATGTGTTTGGGAGTGACAGGTGATCGTTACGAATTCATAATAAATGTAGAGCAGTGTAAGACCCACAAAGGTGGGATCCGAGATCATGAGGATGAGAGCTTTTCTCTCGCACTAAGTGCCCAATGAGCCAGCTGTATTGATGGCAGGGGTCCGCTGTAGATGCGATTCCCTGCAGATATCTTTAATACGAATTAGTGGCTAATAAGATGCCATTACATTGATCATTTACACTGGCTCCTAGTGGGTGTGCAGTGGCTGAGCGGCAATAACACCGTTAACGAGTTCTATGCATTTGTACATAAGTATGTCCCTGGGTTCAGGATCGAGAGACAAACATGGTAATGTAATTGCCCTAATAAACCACTTTCTGCGATTTTGTCAATGAAAGCATAATTTCTTAGTTTTTCATGGACTTGGAAACCGTTACGTTTTTTGGAAGATCTGGAAGTTTTGTGTACGCATCATAAAAATTATGCGTATGTATATCCTGTGTTTTTATGTATTTTTAAACATGACTGAATTGTGAATGCGACATCAGAGTACATATAGTGAGGTAGAGTGCGGGTACTGCCGGCTAATCTCAGACATGTATCCAGTGTGGAAGTGTGGGCCATCATAGCCTTGAGAGGAGAGGGGCTCTTAAGAGCTCCTTCTAGTGGAGGCCCTTCTGCAAGCAGTTGCGTGCAAAAAGCTGTTGCAGGGCTGTGACTTTACCTGCATATGATCAATTATACCATACCTATAAACTATTTAACTTTTTTTACCAGGTAAGGACCATGAAGCTATATCACTCTTTTTCAGAAGTGACCTGGCAAAAAATGATACCTCAATGAAGTGGCTTATCAAATACTCTAAATACGTGTTTCTAAATGTGGAGGGATAAACCACAGGACCGGAGAAAAAATCCGTGCGACCACGGAGAGAACATGCAAACTCTAAATATACAGGCATCAGGGTTGGAATTGAACCCACGACCTCCGGTATATCAGGGACGGTAGTTAACTTTTCGCCATTGTGGCCCCCCATATCAACATTGCAGTGAAGACCTGCTGCGATTGAAGAGTTTAAATGTGCTTGTACAGCAGATTTAAATGTTGCATAAGAGATCCTGCGTCTGTGATATCATCACTGCTTTATATTAGTAATGCCATTACTGTGTGCATAGTTATGCTTGGTTTATTGTTCAAGCGCATTAATGCTATAATTCAAGGAATGAAGCAACACCACCTTACACATTTAATCTCTTCCCACCGTCCTCTGTATCGTTTCTTGATAAATCGGACTTATATCATGAATGCATTATTTATTAATATTTAGTGACTTGCTTTCCCATTTTCTATATTTTGCACTCCTATCGTTATTTTTTGTGTATCGTTTGCTGTTGTAAGCCTTGCTGACCCACCCATACAGGACATCTGTGAAAAATACTCTTAGTTCTTTCGGTAAAGTCACATAGGTAAAAAATGAAATTAAAATTAATAAAAAAAACAATGAAATAAAAAAAGAGCTTCATAGCCCATCGGATTCCTCCTCCAGACTAAATAGAGATGATTCTGATTCTCAGTGGACTGTTGGGACGGACCGGATGGAGAACCCATTGTCTACCATGGCCACACGCTCACGTCAAAGATCCTCTTCCGCGATGTCATCGAGATCATCAACAAGTATGCCTTCGTCAAGTCACAGTGAGTACCGCCAGGGTCGACCATGGGGTTGGGGGGGCGTGCGGCCCGGGGCAAATCACACCATGTGCCCCCCCCCCCCTCCACTCCCCGACACCTTCAAACTAAATCAGAAGTGGAAAAAAAATGAATAGGTTTTACCCTTCCTGGAAATTAAAGCAGGTGTTAAGATGTTCAAACACCAAATAGAAACCTTTTTGCAAGGAATCAAGTCTATATGGCCTTGTCTCACCAGTGTCAGACCAGAGAATGGCAAAATGCAAAAAGTACAATAACAATGCACGCATCAGAGCATTTATCGCTTGTGGTGAGCAGCTGTATCATTGGATACCTTTGAGACTGGCAAACAGGTCGCATGATAAACCCGAGGTATTATATCTGACACTGTGATGGTGAAGTGCGCGGCCCCCCAAAACGCGCGGCCCCCCAAAGCGTGGGGCTCGGGACAGTCGCCCCGTTGAGTGGATTTTTGGCGAGGCTGACGCCTGTATATTTGGAGTTTGCATGTTATCCTCATGGTCGGATGGATTTAAATCTGGGTTCTCAGGTTTTTTTCCTCCCCATTATATAGGCTGCTATAAATTTTCACGTGAAAAGCCACTTTGTGGCAAGGTCACTTCTAAAAAAGAGCTTTACAGCTCAATGGGCTTGACCTGGTAAAATACAAATAGCTTCGTATAATGTCACCTCGGTCCTCTGCGGTGAGCAGTATGTCTTTAAAAACAACGGCGCATCGCCTCTCCAAACTGAATTGACGCCAAACCGCTTGCGCGTTTCCGAGATGCAGCAGCGGTGAACGTGACACCCGCACCCTGCAACTCGCGTCCGGACGTCTCTCGGAAAGCGGAGAGAGCGGGCTTAAACCGCGACGCGCCCCTTGAAACCGCCGCACGTTGACGCTCCCAACCTTGGCACGTGGCAGGTTCCCGGTGATCCTGTCCATAGAGAACCACTGCAGCGTGCCGCAGCAGAAGAAGATGGCCGAGTGCATGCGCGAGATCCTGGCCGACAAGCTCGACCTGTCGCGCGTGGCGGACGGTGACCCCAGCCGGCTGCCTTCTCCACAGAGCCTCATGGGGAAAATCCTCGTCAAGGTACCCACACCCCCCCCCCCCCTCCCCCCCAACACGCACGCACACCTTTTTTTGTTGCAAGTCTTTAAACGAATGTTTTTTTTACCATTGGAACCTCATTTGCCAGTAAAAAATATGATAATTGGTTTTTTACCCTTCTATCTGGCAACAAAACTTACACCTTTTTTACAAGGAATCATATTGTGGTCTATGCAAACATGACTCCTTGTAAAAAAGGTGTCAGTTTTGTTGCCAGATAGAAGGGTAAAAAACAATAATATTTTTTACTGGCAAATGAGGTTCCAATGGTGTAAATGCTTACCCCGAGCTCTCATACTCTGATGGTGCATTGTCTCTGAGTTGTGCGCCTTTTGGCGTCATCTGGTCCAACCCATGTGAGACTAGGCTCTAAGGAAAGCTGTCTCGGGTGTGGACCAATCAACTTCAAGGACAGTGCATACATTATCAGAGTTGTGTTTTTTGTTTGCATAACTGTGGTTTATGCAAACATGACTCCTTGTAAAAAAGGTGTCAGTTTTGTTGCCAGACAGAAGGGTAAAAAAACAATTATCAAATGTTTATTAATCGTCCTTGTTACCGTTGTAGGCGATTTACATTTTGTCGTCATGGTCAAAGGGCCGCAGCCACACCATTTTGGGCTAGTGAGGGCGGAACTATCATCTTGGTTCTTTCGGTAAAGTCATGTAGAATGGAAATTAAAAATATATATATTATTTTATTATTTCCATTCTACGTGACTTTACCGAATGAACCAAGAAGATGAATCCCTGCAGTGACGAAAGCTTTAAATCGAAATTTAGGGCGGAACTATGTTAGTGAGTTGCAGTAAGCTGTGTTTTTTTTGGTTGTTCCCGGTTTTCAGTATTATTTAAAAGTTCCATTGATACCAGACCATCCTCAGTTCGATCATCTTTGACTGCACAAGTTAGTACGGTGCCGAGTAAGGAAACAGACGACACTGTATTCTCCTGATTATGACGCACTTTCGCTCGCTCATCCCTCTCTGTATTTAGCAAGTTATATAAATAAAGCCTGCTAATCCATTCTAGATTTGAAGCTTTCGTGACTGCAAGGATTCATATTCTTAGGTTTTTTCGGTAAAGTCACGTAGGTAAAAATTAAAAATAATAAAAGTAAAATAAAAATCACGACGTTTCGGAGGCAACACAAGCTTCCGTCTTCAGGTGGAACCGTCACAGCACGATTGCTGTATCAAGCGAGATAAACTCCAAGAGACCCGTCCCTGCATATATACTGGTTGAGGGTGGGAGGAGCCAAGGCAGGCACCTGGATCGGAGCTTTGTATTATTATTATTGTGAGGTTGGCGCGGCTGCTAATCCAGGTGTGTGTGTGTAGGATTTGTATAACTTTATTGACGCCCGGAAAAAGTTTGGGGTGCATCTTGTATTTTGGAACATCTTTTCATCTGTAGAAGATGGGGTTTTTGCGTGTGTTTTTAAAGCTGTTGTCATTGTTGTTTTCGTAATATTATTTCCATGATATAGTTTGCGAGCTATGTGGTTAATCTTCTTGGTTTTTTTCAGTAAAGTCACGTAGAATGGAAATAATAAAATAATAAAAATAAAACATAATAAAATAATTCTCACGACGTTTCGGCCACAACGCAAGCAGCCGTCCTCAGGTGGAGAACAGGTCTGTCGATAAGACAGCGTCGTGAGAATTATTTTATTATGTTTTATTTTTATTATTTTATTATTTCCATTCTACGTGACTTTACCGAAAAAACCAAGAAGATGAATCCCTGCAGTCACGAAAGCTTTAAATCGAAATAAAACTATGTGGTTAACTTGCTTGCCACGGGAGATGGTCGACTTCCCGGTTGTGGTGGCCTCAAATTTCACCTCTACCCACAGTGCTTTGGGCAAGAGGAAGATGTGACATGTGCTAAACATACATGAAATGCAATGCGACATTTTAAGCACTACAATCGTCGTTTTGTTGTTTACCCACATTCCCTTAGTTTTTCTTTTACTGGTTGGAACCTCCTGGTTACACCAGCCCACAGGGGATTATTGTGTCCGTCCGTCCGTCGTCCAGGGAGGGGCTGGGTGGGGAGGGGGAGGGAGGGCTGGGTGGGGAGGGGAGGTTGGGCAGGGGCTGGGTGGGGATGGTGGGGCTGGGTGAGGAGGGGCTGGGTGGGGAGGGTGGGGAGGGGCTGGATGGGGAGGGTGGAGAGGGTGGGGATGGGTGGGGGGTGGGGCTGGGTGGGGAGGGGCTGGTCACCCCGTGGTGCCCTTATAAAACTCAACGTTTAACCTACTCACGCCGGCTTGTGCCCGCCCTCACAGTCGGGCATATTTGCGGAATACACCACGCCGCCGTTGACCCTGCAGGCCATTGACCGAGCAACCCAACGTTCCTACCAGCTCCCTCCACAGGAATGTGTTTTTACTCCGAGCACCACTTTTTATTGTTGTTTCATTATTCACCTGCAAGCTCAGGTCTATAGATGGACCATAATGTTCCAATTTGGCCATCGTTTGATTGACTGCACCGTTGCACACAAGCAGCGCTCTGCTGAGTTCATTGCTTCTTTCTCTCTCTCGTCTCTGCCCAAATAAATAAGAAGAGAATAAGTAAAGGGGTAAGCGAGGCTCTCTTCGTCTAGACGCTGGGCTGCGTACGTTTGCCTGCCTGCCTGCTTGAAAGTGCGCTTGCCAATGATGTGGACGATTTGCAAAGGGTTGGGCGGTCCCAATGTTCACCAGTGCTTTGTTAGTATTCACTTGTCAAAGTAAAACACAGAGTACGGTATTCCCTCGTTATTCACAAACTTGCTATCCGCAATTTTGGCTATCCGCCAATCGCATCTGGAACTCTACACGACCACCGCATCGAGAGGGAGAGAAGGAAAGGCACGCGATAAAGTGATGGGAGAGAAAGTGATGAGGTAAAGTGATTAAATATATTTTTTTATCTATTTCATAGCTTTTTTATGTATTTAAGATCATTTTCAGAGGCCAATATCATTATCCACAAAATCTACTATTCACTAGCATCTCCAGAACGTATCCCTTGTGAATAACTAGGGAATACTTAAATAATAATATAAAACAATCCTTGAGCCAGGAAACTGTTGCCAAGTTTCATCATTCAGGAGTTGTTCTGCCTCAGGATTCCTAGCCAATTTCTTTTCTCTTTGTTTCCTCTGAGTGTTTTGCATGTTCCATTAAAGTGTAGAAGGTAGGACTCGGAGAAAAGTCACGAATGAAAGGAAAAGCACTTAAAACTCCACACAGACTGGTCACAACTCATTTGCTCTACTGCCAAAACGTGCTGCGCTGATCATACGCTGATCTTCTTACAGGCCCGAAAGTTGGGAGTCTCATACCACTTGATGATCTCTGCTTGATCCACTAACTCCACTTACAAAGCTCTTGGTTAAAACAATAATTACTTCATGATATTTCCCATTATCGTTCCCTGGAATTACCATGTTGCACGGCAAACAAGAATGACTCATTACTCATATTCTCGATGGCCATCATCATTTGCCGCTGTTATATGAAGGCTTTCCCAAGCCTCCACCATTTTTCACGATCCTGCAGTTGCAGTGTCATAATCATCCACCGAGCACCTTTTTAGCGGTGAAAGTTCCACATGTCCATGGTGTGGGTGAGTCAAACCACATGGCAACCATTGATGGCTTCCCACAGAGTGGCACCGTATATTCATTTTAGCAACACCTGAGCAATAACAGGCCGCAATTGCGCTCACCAAATTGTGCGAATAATGCGACTATATAAAAAATGACTGATTATAATACTGATTATGATTATAATCATTATTTCTTTTTCGATTTAAAGCTTTCGTGACTGCAGGGATTCATCTCCTTGGTTCTTTCGGTAAAGTCACGTAGAATGGAAATAATAAAATAATAAAAATAAAACATAATAAAATAATTCTCACGACGTTTTGGCCACAACGCAAGCAGCCGTCCTCAGGTGAAGAACAGGTCACCTGAGGACGGTTGCTTGCGTTGTGGCCGAAACAGTCGTGATAATTATTTTATTATGTTTCATTTTTATTGTTTTATTATGTTTTATTATTTTATTGTTTTATTGTTATTATTTTATTACGTATTATTATTTATTATGTTTTATTTTTATTATTTTATTATTTCCCTTCTACGTGACTTTACCAAAAGAACCAAGAAGACATTATTTCTTCTTTAGTTGCATCATTCATGTGAATTACAGCTCGCAATCCTGCACAATCCGATTAATGGGTGTTTATAGATGTGGAAGGAGACTGGAGCACCTGAAAAACAAATCACTTGTGTGTGAGGGAAAAACACTCTGTCGTACAGATGTAACAGATGGAAATTAGTCCGCAATTTGCTGCCCCGCATTCTCCTGACAACCCGGGGTGTGGCGCCTCGATGCCGATGGGAAAGGAGTTTTGAAACATTTTCTGCGATCCACAAAAACCCTCACCTCCACAGTGCTGGGTTGCCGGCATGGGCCACCACCAGCATTTAATAACGATGATTCCTGCACTGAGCCTGAAGGGGTTTTCAACTGCTATGGTGGGACGGATTTATTTTTTTGTCATCACTGTTTCTGAGTACAGATCCAAAGTCTCAAAACTCCACGTGGCAAGCGACGAATAACCACTGCTGAAGGTGTAATGCACAGGTTAATTGTTCTTAAATTGACCGAGGCTAGAGGAACTTGGCAATAGATGATGATGGGAGGGAATTCCAAAGTGGAGGAGTGCGTGGAAAGAGGCAGGAAGCAGGAGTGCGGTGGCCTGCAGTGTGGTGGTTGAGTGCGACGTGGATGGGACGAAACGGTCAGTGTCTCAACATGGGTGGGGGAATCAACTAGTGAACTTGATGGCAACCCTCACCAAGGAGGTGACTGGGTGGGGTGCCACGGTGGAGAGATGTTAACTACCTCACCTTGTATACAGGAGGTCGTCGGTTCAATCCCGACCCTGACGCCTGTATATTTGGAGTTTGCATGTTCTGCCCATGGTCGTGTAGATTTTTCTCCGGGTCCTCCGGTTTTTCTCTCCGTATTTCGAAACATGCGTTTGGAGGATTTGGCTGCTATAAATTTCCACGTGATGAGCCACTTCGTTCAGCTATCATTTGTAGCCAGGTCGCTTCTGAAAAAGAGCTACATAGCTCAGTGGGCCTTACCTGGTAACATAAAAACAAAGTTTCGCTTTATAGACTTACGCCCGGTGAGCGAGTGACTGGAGCGCATCGGCAAGCATCGGATCGTCGGTCGACCTCACGTACGACCAAACTTGGCTGCAAGTTTGGTCGTACGTGTTATGTATATCGTTTATTGTTCAATTTAAATCACAGTTCCTATGATTAGTTGTTACATTGTTTTTATAGCTTTATTTTAGTGATTTGAAAACATACGGTTAATCTAAATAGTCTTATGGTTGTTGTTGTTGGCTTGCACCACATTGTGATTTTTTCACACAGCGTTTTAATACTTTTTTTGGGGGGTGGGGGGGGGGGGATATTTGCTGCTTTATTCTAGGATGTTTCTGTTACGCGTCATCGCTTTGGGATGTTCTGTGTTCATATTTTGTTTGTTGCGGTTGCACCCGACTCAAGAGCCGCACGGCTCACAGGGCTATACCTAATAAATGAAACTTGAAAATGAAAAACTTGAAAACGCTCCACGTCGAATTCTGTCGAGCGCAGTGAGTTCGGAACCGAGCCCTCCGATCCAGGGGTAGCGTCGTGCATAAATGTGTCTGCGGCTCCCCGTGCGTGCGCGCTCGCAGGGCAAGAAGCTGCCGGCGAACATCAGCGACGACGCGGAGGAGGGAGACGTCTCGGACGAGGACAGCGCTGACGAGATCGAGGAGGCGTGCAAGCTCATCAACGGAGACGTATGTTGTGGCGCTATCGCAAGGACACGTCGCGACCCACTAATTGGTTTCATTTTCTTCTCCTAAGTGTCGTTTTTCTCGTATCACTTGCCATTCCGTCCGCCCTGGGCATTTCTGACTCTTGCGCCTGATTAAGGTGCTAAATATTGTTCACTACACCATTTTCTTTCATATATAAACACAATAAAGACAAAGATCCCCCTGTTATAGCCTTAACAGACTGTTGGGGCAAGAGCTGTTAACGAGCACCTATGAAGGCCGGCATAGCACACGAGGGGGTGGGTGACCAGCGCCACGCTCGACTGCCTTTGTCTCCCCAGTAACGATGTTTACACACCGCACCGGATACTCATTTGAGGCTGAGACGACCTAGGACCGGTTCAAATAATCGTCGCCAGCTTTTGCCGTGAGCGGGAATTGAACTCGGTTCGCCGTATTCGTAGCGCGGCGTAATAACCTCTACACTACCGCTCCCACAATACATACACACACACAGTATGGCATACATGTTGACATCTGGCTGTTATGTACTGAATATACACAGATAAATGCTCCAATGTATTTTTAGTTTTATCAAATGGATGGACATTGTTGGTATTCAAATCTTCATATTCAACGTTTTACACTGTGCTGTGTGTGTGTGTGTACACAAGCATGTTCGTGTGTACTCGTACACGTTCCTTGTAGACATGCATACACAACATATGCGTTTGTGTGCACGCATATGAATGCTCTTATGTAACACTGCAGTGTAAAGTTCGTGGGAGGGGAGGATTGATGCACGTGGTTCCGGCCCTGACCTATGAACTCGGTGACCCGAGTCCGATTTCCAGCCACGGCTACCGCTAGGAGGTGGCGAGTTATCCCAAACAGCCCTGGCCAATCTTCACTTCCTCCTTAACTGAGCCTCACTGGCCAGCGTGGTGAAGTATGGTCAAATAAGCCTTACGATTGAATAGTTGCGCGGAGGGCTTCGTCCAACAGTGAGCTGATAAAGGGATGTAAATGATTGCTATCTTTCACCATTAAGCAGCGTGGAGCTTTTTCCAGTGTACAATGTCATTATCAACTGCACACTTCTTGCAATGTGCATTTCGAATATACGGCATGTGTTTCATATAGTAGAAGTTGAGATAACATCTCTCATAGGAAATTCTCGGATTTTACAGCGGGACGCTTTTATCACAATCCAATGGACGTCGGCTGTATCTCGTGCAAATTCTGTCGTGACAGATAAACATCTTCAGGCTTTTGGATGGGACTACATAGATCGTGCAGAGGCTGGCCCCCATCGCTATCACCCAACAACAACAACAACAACAAAACGTCGATTTGCTTCTCACCCAACGCATCCGGCATTGCCCCGTGTAATTAATGCGCGCGGCTGACACCGCGGATTTGCAATTGGGAACGCACGTGGCGATGCCTAGGTGGATAACGGCGAGTCACGGCGGGCGTGTGGGTAGGTGGGTGGGTGGGCGTGTGGGTGGTGGGTGGGCGTGTGGGTGGGTGGGTGGGCGTGTGGGTAGGTGGGTGGGCGTGTGGGTAGGTGGGTGGGCGCGTGGGTGGGTGGGTGTGTGGGCGTGTGGGTAGGTGGGTGGGTGGGCGTGTGGGTAGGTGTGTGGGCGTGTGGGTAGGTGGGTGGGCGTGTGGGTAGGTGGGTGGGCGTGTGGGTAAGTGAGTGGTTTGCGTATGGGTAGGTGGGTGGGCGTGTTGATAGGTGGGTGGGCGTGTTTGGTAGGTGGGTGGGCGTGTGGGTGGGTGGGTAGGTGGGCGTGTGGGTAGGTGGGTGGGTGGGTGTGTGGGTAGGTGGGTGGGTGGGCGTGTGGGTAGGTGGGTGGGCGTGTGGATAGGTGGGTGGGTGGGTGTGTGGGTAGGTGGGTGGGTAGGCATGTGGTTAGGTGGGTGGGTGGGCGTGTGGGCAGGTGGGTGGGTGGCGGCGTGCGGCAGTTTCGTCAAACAAAAACGCATCATCGAATGATCGCCGCGAGCATTATTTCACACGGGGAATTTGGCACTTTATCGCCGGTTGTTTAAATGTGGCTTCGACAAACATCGAATAAAATTCGCCGGTCTCACATTACCGATCTGGCATTGTGAAAGCAGGAAACATTGCTTCGTGCTGGCAAAAAAGTTTGTCGGTAAACAATAGTAAATTGAATGTTGAGTGTTAGCAGTGACATTCTGGCAAAACATTGGAATGTGTTTTTATTTTTCTCTACCTCCTATTGCCTCGGCCAAATTGGATTTAAGTAAATTTCCTTTAACTGTTGGGTAATAGTCAACGTCATTTAAACCGTCTGGCAGCTTTCACTTCTGTTTAATAAAATAAGCGCGGGCGCAGTGGGCTGCTACTTTAGAATGTCGACCCAAATTTAGGAGGGATCGTTGTCTAATTAAATGCGCCGTCAGAAAATAACCGAAGCAGACACATGCGATGCACATTCCGTTGCTCGTGATTGTAATGTAATTAAACTTTTTTTACTTTCACATTTTATAATTTATATTCTTTTACAGTTATTTCAGCGTGATTAGCGTGCGACAAACAATTAAGTTGTGGCTTTCTGCTTGGATTTTTATGGGTTTTTAAAATAAATAAATAAACGTTTTTTTTTACAAACAAAAGCAATCGTTCAAACCAATGGTACGCATTCGGTTAAATCCATCGTTGGAATTAATATGCACATTCTCAGGAATGTTTTTGAATGTCTGGAATATTACCATGACCATATTTGTGAATATTATTTCAGCCGAATAACAGATTGTGGTGGCACATTGATTAATGCACTGCGCTATGAACCCGGTGACCTGTGTTTGAATCCCGTGGTGAGTGGTGTCTGAACGAGCCCCCATCCCACACCACCTGACCCTGACCAACCTACAATGACCAGAGTGGTTGAGCATGGTCAAACAACCCTCATAACTAACATGGCTTGGGGGGGGGGGGTCCATCATCCGGCAGTGAATGGAAAAGGGCCGTATAAAATGATTATTCTAAAAAAAACATACGTTCCGCATAGGAACATCTTTTATAAACAAAGCATCTCAAAATATATCATCCCGGCCTTCATAGGTGCTCGCTAACTGCACTTGCCCCAAAAGTCTGCTAAGGCTATACGGGGGATTTTTGTTTTTGTTTTGCTTATACTGTGTCCCTTTATCCTTCTACCTGTCCATGCGGTATCTCCCACTCACCGGCACACACAGCGCTCCCTAAATCACCGTGGCACTGTGGAGTCCAGGCAACGTTTGACTGCATTCAAACCAAAGCTTTCAAATTAACCCGTGCGTTATGTTCTAAATCCTATTAGCTCTAATGAGCAATTAGCTATTGACCAGCTCGCATGCCGATGCCACTGCAATCATTCCAAATCTCCCCCCCCCCCCCCCCCCCCCACTGTCTAATGATGTGGGAGCGCATCTTCAAAGCGTGATTCCTGCTGGAGGTAATAGTAAACAAAGCGCTGTTGTGTTCCGAATTAGGCCAGAGTGTTTCTCCACCGAAGAGCACGCTAAACATGTTAACATCGTCCGCTAATAATAGAGGTTATAGGAATGTAACAAGAAAGGTATGTAACGATATATTGATTCATTGAATTCTATTCCAGCTTAATAGTACAAATCTTAAGTGTGAGAGTAGCACCTTGAGATGCGGATGCATTTAGACGCTGTATAAATCCCAATTGCATTGCAACGTATTATTTACGAGTTGTGCAAAATATTTAGTCAAGTGACATACTATCGTCATATTTAGGCTAATGCTGTTTAACGAACAGGTGGCAACGAGATGGAAAACTAGAAACAATACAAGCGGTGTGGCCAAAAATAAGCAAAAATAAATCATCCTCGAATCGAATCAGAACCCCAAATCATGGAAATGTGTCACATTGATTGTGGGGGGGAATCATTAGAGGCACTGCGATAGAACGAGTTACATGAACTACTTCTGAACAAAAGCGTGTGTGGTTTCTCATTACGGGAAATGTAAATGTATTTCATACTATTTGTAACAGCTTAATGCATTTATCGATTGATTAGTACTGCATTGTAATTCACTTTGGGGGGATGGAGTCTTGCAATATTGTAACGGCCAGGGTGGAGCTATTTGCTGAAGGATCCGAATGCGACCCCACTTTGCACCTGCCTCGCAATCAATGAACATTCAGGTACAGGTAATGCCTGTGGAATAATGCCTTTGTTTTTCTTACAGTAATTTGTTTTCTGTTTCCCCGCTCACAGTGCCTGCAATAGATCTGGATCTGCCTTGTGAAGTGTGCCGTTGTCCCGTCCGCACTGACAATGGTGTACGATTGCATTTCCTAGACGGTGCCGGATGAATCGTATCTTCCGAAACTTTCACTTTTCTTTTTCAGAGCTCCTGCGATGATTTGACGTGGGTTGTGCGATAGTCCGCCGCAGAATGAATGGGGATGTGCATCTGATTTGTGTGGGTCACTCGTTAAAAATGACACGCTTACAAGCCATGGTTTGTGAGAGGTATCCTGTCAATTAGAAGGGTCTTTTTGGCATGAATTGGCATGGTAAGTAAATTGTTAAAATTACATTGAATCTCCTTGCAAATTGACAAGATTTGCATTTGCTCTTTATGCTTGGGTAAACCACGGTTGGTTTTACATACACACACATATATAAGCGACATGGCAAAACGTGGTGTTGAAAATGCAACTGACATCTCCGTTCATTGCTTTTTTTTCTCATTCTTTCAATAGCCGTCCTGTTCTTCCTTATGTGCAAATTACTCGTTGCATAACAATACATCGGCTAATGTTGTTGCTTATTGCTGTAGATCAGACTGATCTATTTTTCTGTAGATCGCACCGATCTACAGCAACCCATTCAGCCACTCGAGCCTCTGGTCCTGGCACCGCTGAAATCCTGGGTTCAAATCCAGGCTATCACCCGTGATTCAACGAGGTTCTCAATTCTAGCGAGTTCATGGTTTCAGCTTGGTCACCGAAACTCTTAGGTTTTTTCGGTAA